GTGGCTTTGTGGTAAATTTCAAATACGTGCATGAAGAAAAGAAAGCAGTGTACATCAGACGACAAAACAATCTTAAACCTGATTGACAGCGGCTGCTCACCTGCGAGAAACAAACAATCGTGTTTTTAAGCTTGTGGTCTTCCATCCAAGTGAACCCTTTCGGCAAAACTCTGTGCTCGAAAGCGCCGCCCGATCTGAAACCAATCCAATAGCAAATGCTTAACTGAGGATACAACACTTAATGTTCGTCGAGTGTCTGCAGAAACAGATCATGCAAAATGCCGCATTCAAATTCGTTCGGAGGAACTTTCAGAAGCGAGCGCGAATGCAGCAGACGACGGTTTTCGTTCTTTTCTAAAGAGGGTTACACTGCCTAAGGAAAAAGGAAAACAGAAACAAGAATGAAAATAGAGGCAGTCTTTCATTTTATGCATTAAGTAGGCACGTTTGCTGGATGGATATTCGCCGTTCCGGTGGTAAATCACGCGCACAGAAAAGCTGTAGGACAATAACTATGCCATAAAAAGTAGCGGTAAACAGTTCAATAAAAAGTTTTCAGCATTAAACTCTTATGACCGCTAAAAAATAAATGCGCCCGAACGACATTCAGGAAAGTACATTACTTTCAGCTTCTTTATAAAGGCTGATTTCTTCGTCGGTTTGCGGTTTCAACGGATTTATATCTACGGACCTGAAAATAGGGTGGTTTATTCCGCAACGATATGCAATGTGATATTTAGTTTTCAAACCAAAAACGCAACAAGCATATCTGAAAATTTTTTTTATATTATTCATCTTCGTCTGAATTTCCGTCTTCTTAATGAAATAGTCGGTACAGAAATATAAAGAGAACACACCCAATGTCTAACAACTCTTTATCAGTGCTAGCCGACCAGATTGATCATTTTGAGTGTGTTCGAATTTAGAACCAATAATACGTCAGTGTAATAGATGAAATTCAACAACAGTTTAACAGTTAAGTTCAACGACAGTAATAAATAAGTATTCAAAAACTTCCCGCTAAAATGCTTTCAGAAATTTTCAGTGAACTGAAAGCCGCTATAGTGAGCTTCAAATGACTTCTATGGGCTCGTAGATTACATCAGCAGATTTTTTGCAACGCTTAGATAAACTCAGTTCAGAGTTTGGTTAAACTTTGGACACATTACTCTACAATAAACTTAAATCCTTCGATAAACTTAAAAAAGTTACTAACATCAGTCGATTCGCAAAAGTTAGGCACGCCTAGCAGGTTTACATATTAATTAGTACTCAATGTGGCTTTATAAATCAGGCGGACATAACCGAGTACTTCTTTGCGAACAACGCTATGAAAATCTGTTACCACTATTACCTAAATCCATATAAAGACATAAAGGCCACAGGCATATAACCGACGTTAGCCTTGCTTAACGTTCTAAGTATCTTCAGAATTTTTATAACGCTGATTGACCACTTGAAGAGGAAGCGGTCGATTCATCTCGGCCAAAATATTTCAAGTTACAACACGCGTTTCCTTTTGGAGACACTCCGTCTTTGCAAATTTCTGCCTCATAAATTCCATTTCATTTTCATCGTTAGCTTGTCTCTCTCGACTGCTTGATTATAATTCCACAGAGTTTTCTTTAGAGGTCTACCTTTTGCGTCCCACATTAATAAAAGGCTAGCAAGTTTATACATTTTATAGCAATTCAAAGAAACTTGACGTCGTGGGAAACGTGAAAACGATCAAAAACTATTACTGGAAATATTTATGTCATCGTCGCTTAGCCTCTGCGCCAATGACTGCAGTGCCTAAATTTATGATGTTCGCAAGCGGCAAGCGGAATGATATGATTTTAGTTTCACTGTAATGCTTCAAACTCCGCCATGGCCGGTCCCAAGCCCGGATGAGAAAAGGAGGAGGGTTGGAGACCGTGGCAAGTCTCCGTAAAATTCAGCCACCTGCCACTCATGGTATTGACGAAATACTTTTGAGTGATTATGTCAGCCTAAATGATGAATTTCCATATTCAGTGTTGACTACCACAGCGACGGCTTCCATGCGTGGGTTCCCATAAGATTTGGTGAGAGAATTCTGTGAGCAAGCGATGTTATGCCTATGCTTATCGTCCTGTCAAACCAGGTGATTCGTCATTCATGCAGCATGGATTGTGCTGGATCGGATCGTCATGTCATCATAGGTAGACAATAACTGCCGATTTGTCATTTGGTGATATCATAAAATTCTTAGAACGCTCCGTGAACAACCTTGCTGGCAGGCATTTAGTCGAACCTCAACGGCTTTTAATAAGGTTACTGTCTCATTTGTAACTAAGAACGGGAAAGATTGACAATGCGCAGATCTTGACTTATGTTGTCAAGCGTATGCTCTGCTGACGCCAAATTTTCGCTAGGCCTGTAAATGCTGCCACCGCCAGAGCAATTACCCTTCTCAGTTCAACGTCACAGCGGCTGTCTTGGTAACAGCTGAACCTAAGTACTTGAAGCAATCACTTTCGGCCAATTGGTGTCCAGTGAATGCGAAATCCGTCGTACACGTCATAGTGAGATTCACTACCTGGGCTGATGAAGGCTGGAAACTCTGACTGAAATCTGATCCTATTTAAACAGGAATTCGTTGTTGTAACTATTTCCAGGTAAACACACGCTCGTTGTTAATAGCTTTCATTTAGAACTGCCTTTTTCACTTTCTTTCTCTTCTAGTAATATCTGATGTCCAATCTACTAATCAGTCACCTCTGATCACTATCCGAACACATATCTGATCCACTGCCGTATAAATTTTTTCGCTAACAAGTTCATTTCCTTAAATTTAGTTCAATCTAACTATGCCGTGAACAAAGAAATATCGGTAAAGTCCTACATAACTGCTTGTCTGCGTTTCTCTTCCAGCAAAAATCATGTGACACCTCTACTAGGCGCATCAAAAGTTCAGACACGAAAAAAATATGCCTACTCTAGCATATCAGAAGTGGGTCACAGTTCTAAACTGCGATCGCCCGAGGGCAGTACCTATTCTCCGTCGGATGTCTGGCCACCATAACAAACTTCGCCCTCATGGTAAGAGCAGGTTCACCGTTGTCATCCTTCTGAAGCAAATCCATAATCACTTCCATACTGCTTCTTCCGACCCACGTTACTCTGCCTTCGACCAAAACGTCACGGTTCAGCATGATAGCGTGCGAGTGAAGTGCTGAATGGTAAAACAAAGGAAACAATTTTTCGTTTCACAATTCGACTAGTAGATTTCGCTTACCAATTCGATCAACGCATGCAGTAACAATAATCATCGGTGGATGGCAGGGAGTCTTTCCCATGTTTTCACCCTTCTGACAATGTCTGTAAGCAAGCCATACTAAAACAGCGATAACTATGTAATGATGATCATGAGCAGTAAGTAAAAAACTACGCGGCATAAAGGCTGGGCAAAGAGGGAAGCAACTTCGGCTTACCAGCAAACGTGTCCATGTTTTCCAGTATCTTTCCGAAGCGCACGTTACCGCGAATGTTCACGTATCGCCTTCTCAAAACCAAGTCGTCTTTGAATGGAAGAACAAAGCTGTCTCTACTGTCGCTGACTTTCCGGAAGCTGCCATCTTTAAGAATTGCCGAGTTTCTAATTTTAAAAAAGTTAATTAAACCGGAAGTTAGCTAATCTTCTTGCACTGATAAATTCACAAATATGTATTTTCCAGCAAACAAAATGAGGATCACTACCCAGAAAAGGAGAAAAGTTATCACCGAGAGAGCAGCATACTGGGAAAAGTGGCGCAGGGGATGAGAAGATCTTTCTGCGGTTTAGGGTAGTCAACATTTTCTTTTTAATCGATAATTCCTTTAAACAAAGAATTTACCCCGCTGTGTTTCTGTACAAAATTTGAGCAACGGTAAAGAAGTTGTTTGTCTGGCAATGATTAGGACAGCATGACGTCTAATGCCAAAACTTGTGAGACTTGTAACCATGCCACCTGATGCGCGCTTTAAAGCCTGGCATTAGATTTAGCCTATGTGACAGTCGACTAAAAATCAACATAATATCTTAACTTTAAATTAAGAAAGTTTAAAAACGGGTATGACTTAAATTATGCAAGCTGACACAGTGGAACGAGATTGGGACAGAACACATGCAAACGTAGCACGACAAAACACTGCGGAACAATAGCTGAACAGTTTCATCACGTCAGAAGAATTCAACAATCGCTGCTTAGTGCCTATTGAGCCTAAGAACTAGAACCGACGCTGAGGTAAATGAACGACTGTAAAGCTCTATGCAAAGAAAAAGTTAAAAGTTTTACTGCGTGAAAGAGGTCACGGCCAATCCCAGTTTTCACCACCGTCAAGATTGGATAAACAAACAAACAGCATATAACAGATAGTTGATAAATAAGAAAATATATACAGTGGCCAAAATAAATGCGGAAAATATCACACAGCAGATCAGAGAAACCTGAATCAAAACTAAGATATTACTACACAATGTTACATTGAGCATAGCGAAATAGTGCTGATGGACAGCATCGGGATATCTGAGAATTTGCGTTGAAGCTGGGACAATGGAAATTCTACAGTTCAGTTCGAGAAGACACGCAGAGGTGAGATGATCTGGTGGACACACTTCGTGACTGGCATTTGGCAAGGCTGCCGTGCAGTAGGTAGTACTTGTATACCTAGAGCGACAAAAGATTTGGCTACAGATATTGAGAGATCTCTGTAAGGCAAGCCGCTTAGTTTGGAAGCTAACTTTAGCGACCTCCTGATGATTTTGAAGTACCACACTTGCAAACCAGGGAATACTACAGCAGCATTAGATGGGAATGATACACGCGAAGATGAAGTTTCTAACTGCATCACTCGACGCCTGAAGTCCCTTAAGTTCTTCATCGCAAAAGCAGCATTTTGCTGCTTCATGGAGACATTCATGCCAGGTAAGGTCGGATAAAAAAATTAGGCTGAGGAACTTGATATGTCGTACCTGGAACACCAGTTGACTACTAATAATCAATATCTCAGTGGAGAGCTGAAGAAGGGCCTTCTATTTTGTGCCTCGCACTACAAAACTCAGTTCCTTCGTCTTCTTTAGGTTTAGAATGGGACCATTTAAGGAGAAAAAACCGCAGATAGTAGAGAAGCAATTAGAGTAAGTGTTCCAGTCTTTGGTAGACTGCAGGAACCCAACCATGTCGTCAACATACTTGATACATGTCAGAGCAACATAAAAATGACGTCGTTTACAAACACACTGAATAACAGGGGTGAACATAACCTAACCTTGGCTACATCCACTACACCAACCTTGGACTACAAGTTGTTCGGTATGACCTTTGACTTCAAATTTCACAAACTGACGACGGAGGGACTGAAAATTAGCAAGTTACCGGAGGATCGAACCGTCCATGGAAAATATAAGAAGTTCAACGGTTAGTCATCGCGCGGAATTGTGCTGAAGGCGAAGGACCGATCGAAGAATGGTGTTTTTACAGTTTTTACGCGTTTGTCCAATTCACTTGCGATTTCGTCCGTGACTGAGGCAAGCGCACCATTGGTTTCAATCCCTATTCCGTAAGCAAACTGCCGTTGATCAATCATATGTTGAGCAAAATTTAATGCGATGGGTCGGAAAAGATCGAAGTTGACTGTAGATGATGGCTCTTTCTTTGGCAATGAAACAATCGTTGCCTACACACCATGCACTGGGAAATAAGTGCGTTGTGCAAGCAGCAGTTAAGTCGAAGTTATACAACATGGCACAGCTCGGTTGAACAAAGCTGAGTATGACTCTATCTGGACCGGAAGATACATTCAAGCAGAGACGCTCAAGACAGAATCAGACCTCTTCTATGCTGAATTGAACCGGATCGCCCTCTTCGTTTGCCGACAGAGCACTGAAGTCAGATGAAATCGACAAATCCCTTTCAAAGCGGAGGAAGTGTCGGTTTAGGTCACTTATGTCAGAAATTTTTCAGGGCAGAGCCTGGTGTCGCCGTACTGTATAGCGACATAATTTTGGCCAGAGATTCTTCGGATTATTATTCACAAAGCAGTGTTTCATATAACCTTCAGCCGCTAAACTTGAGTCTTGATTTATATAGATAACATGGAGCAGAAGCTCTTATGTCCAAATTTAGATGCCTTACCCTTTTGGCGGCGGAGTCGTTGCCATGATTCAGACGTAATGTGGCGCGCTTTCACCGGAAGATTTACGATTGAACAGAAACAGTCAAACTGTTATATAAGATACTGCCCATTCCGTTTACTGCCGCATCTATATCTTCCAGGTCACGAGACAACGATGAGAAACTGAGCCAATCAAAGGAGTTAAGAAGCTGTCGCCGCTTCTGAGCGTTGACTTCGTGAAT